ATTGAGATTATTTGTATTAAACGTCAAAAACAATGAAATTAATTTTTTAGTTTCTGTACAGTACGCTTGAAATTGTAATATCGAATGCGATGCTGTTGTCACGCAGCACTTTTAATAATCTTCATTTAAATACATGGAACCAGTCTTTGTTATTGGAAAAACCGCATGCTTTCTCTTAGGTTTAGCACTAAAGTTGAGAAACCAATAAAAATAAATGCAACAAATATAAAATGCAAGTTAACGCAAATGTAGACGTTAAATGACGCGTATATTAAAATTAAAATTATTGTATGTCATTCACAAACTTTAGAATATAAATTAAATTAAAATGCATTGCTTAATTATACATGATTGCAAATAAAAAATTAATGCAAATATCTTTCTCTAAACGCATAACTTAACTTTAAAATTATTTTTCTCTATATATATTTGCGCTTTTAATTTTTATGCACTTACATTAAAAGTTGACCTTATCTATACTTTATACTCGTATTTTTCTTTTCTTACACATGAAATCAAGTTAATAAATGAATATCAATTAAATCTCATTAATTATTTAAAGACGTAGAAAATCTCAAGGAAATTAATTTATGTACATACACATATATGTCTGTATGTAATTAAGAGTATGTGAGTATTGTAAGTGCACGTTACTTTGTACATGCATTTTCGTATTGTAATAAAATAATAATTCTTTTTTTAATAAAGATTAGAGCAAATTTTATATTCTCTCTGATACTATAATTAATTAATTAATTTATTTTATTCAAAATAAATTAATATAATAAATTTAGGAAATTATTTAAATGTGATTATATAACATTTATTTACATAAATGCATTATGTGTTTTGAGTGCGACCTAGAAGATGAGAAAATACCGCTTCATAATTTGTGAATTTGCAAAACGCTGACTAAAAAAAGACTTCTACACTTTGCATTATCTGGACTGCTCGAATGTTGTTTGCAACTAATTGTATCTTCACAGGTTCGTTGAGAAAGTAGGGATAGCGTAGAACTTGTGTCTTGTCCGCAGTGTTATTTGGTCATAGGACCAGCCGACAATTAACAATATAAAATACGTGCACTGACTTTAAGTGACAGTAACATATACAAATACAAATATATTGATTCTTCTTCTTTTTTTCACTTCTTTAGATAAAATTAAAGTATAGCATATTAAGGTTAGTATTTATTCAATTATTCGTCAAATAAAATAAATTATTAAGTAACATTCCATTCCGTGTAAATTTGCAATGAAATTTTTTGTCATGCATCTTAAACTGCACTTTATTTGTTATACTACCATGAATTTCGATTTTTGAATTTTCGATGTTAATATGTATTACACTGAATTTTTTATATACACATACCTATAATAATTGTATAAGTCAAATGTTATAAGTTATAAGATTTTAAACTTAGCGCACCAAAATTGATTTTTTTTACCACTAGTTCTAATAATTTTAAATTAAAATTCTTTGTTCTTAATAAAATTTGCAATATTCAAAAGTCAAATAACTATAATAAGAACAAAATTTTATTGTTGATTTACATACATACATATATGTATGTACATGTATCGTGATTTATAACTTAATTTTTGACCTTAAAAAAATTTAATTAAATTGAAACCTTGAATTTTACTCCGTAAAAATAAGTAAAACATTCATTATTTTCCGTATTGCATTTTGAACTTGTTTTACGAATATTATTTATATCCGCGCTTGTAATATACATTGCCTTTATATGTAAACTTATTTAACCATAAATAGCACTACATTTATTTTTATATTTTTGATTAACTACTAAACATCCAAGTATAGAATGTAATTATATTATATGCAGCAAAATATATGTAATTCAAAAATTTAACATTTTTAACAAGATTAAAATAATAAAAATTTATTATTAATTTTAGAAATAAAACAAACAAAGGCATAGTGTAAGTTTTATGTGCCGTTATAAAGAATAATACATACATACGTACACGCTTGATTAGAATATAACATACACAATAAAAGATTATAAAAATTATGAATTTCGGATAATTTAAATTTTAAAAGTCTTTCTTTGTATTATAATAGATCTCCAGGAACTAACTAGTTAATATACTTTTTAGCACTTTTCCAAAAAATTTTTGAAAAAAGTACTTAAAAGGTTCACTCTGTCAGTCTGTGGACATGTTTACAAAACTTTTTACGAAACTTATTTCTGTAGAAGAAAATTTTTAGCTATCATAATTATAGCTACCCCCCAAAACCCTATAGCTACCCCCCAAAACCCTATAGCTACCCCCCAAAACCCTAAAAATGCCATTTTTTAATATTTATTGCAGTGAAACCATAAGCATTTTTTAAATTTTTGCAAACGCAAAAAGGTAGTGGCTTGATTCCCCTATCGCGGCATACTATAGTTAAACTTTAGAAAAACGAAATGGCCGCTCAAATTTACCATTATTAAATACCTTATAAAATTATATATAGAGCATTATATTAACCCCGCTTTTTGTTTTATTTCAAAGACTGCATAAATCGTTCATCCTAAATACATGTAATCCTGGAAATAGTTTCGTTTATGAATGAAAATAATTTTAATAGTGTGGTAGGTATAAGTAGGCTCTATTTAAAACCAGTATTTTCACTTGTTGAAGGGAAAAATGCTACAATACAAATCATTGGTTTGACCCAACTTTATTTAAATTAATATCTTAAATTTTTCAACGTAATTATTTTTTACAAACTTAAAGTATTTTTGCAGCATTTAAAAAAATTTTTAAAAATGTTTTAGATTTTTAAGTATACTACGAACGAAAAGTGCTTCTTTTGTAGCAGAAATTTATCGAACGTGAACAATTTTCTAATATTGATTTATCGAATATCAAGCTTAAAATCGAATTTATAGCTTTGAATTTTCGAAAATTCCCTTTGTTTTACAAAAAATTGATCAGAGTATATTGCCGTCTGTAGGCAAGACACAGTAATTAACAGTGTTAATAAAATTGTACTGAAAATAAAAATAATGCTACTCTTCAGATTGGGTTTCCGTACTTAATTTTTAGCCAAATTCTTTAAAAAAAAATTTACAGGATTTTATATGACAATTGCTGAAAAATGAGCCGGAACGCTCTAATGAATAATGAAATGAATAACTTAAATAAATTTTAATTACTTATTTTCACATTTTGTCAGTGTTATTATGTTTTTTAAAGAAACATTTTGCTTGAATTTCGCAAGAAAGCTAAATCAATATGAAAGGTGCCAATATATATTTCAACATACATATTCATGTATCTGTACGTATGTGCGTAGATCTAATTAAATTGATATACCTTTTAAATTAAATTACCAAATATAGTGTATAAATTTAATTGACTAATAAAAATATACCAAATAATTTTAAATAAAATACTAAATTAAAAAAATTTATAGAAATTTTAATTTTAACAAATTAAATGATTTCAGATTGGCATGTCTAATATGACTTTCTTATATCGTTATATTAACGAAAACAATTTTAAACTTAAAAATACAACTTCAAAGTCCCAAATTTTTGAAAGCCTTTCTAAGTGATTCATTTAATTTAAGCTAAACTTTTTAATTAAAATTTATATTTTATTTTTTTGTAATTTATATGTACCTATTTCATAGATATTGTACTAAATCAACAAAGAGGTCATAAAACCATTAAATTAAACACAAGGTTACACTTAAAATACATATCCACAATTATATATACATATGTACACATAAAAACAAAATCTGATGTGGTCAGCAAATAGCCGACCGGCGTTGTGTATTGTTCAAAGTGTTACAGAAGATTATGGAAATGACTTTTAAATACTTGTTTCAAATATTAAGGACCCTAGTAATCATACCCAGAAAAATGTGAATTTAGCTCTTTCGTGTTGCGCGATCCGAATTCTCTAAAAAATTTGCCACTTACTTCCGGTAGCAAACCGAACTCGAATATCAAATTTCAACAAATTTCGTCAATTAAGTCCTTAGATATGCTAAGAAATATAAATTCGGTTTAGAAACTCCTATAGTTAGGTTTCCGCACCCTATATTTCCAAAAATTTTACAGCTTCATTGTTTTAACAACCTATGAAATCACAAATTAAATTTCAAAGAAATCGGTTGATTATTTTAACTGGATCTTTAGGTTTAGTTGATTTCTTCCAAAATTAGATTGTTTCTCATACTGCTGGACTAAGTTTACATATAAAATTTCCAATTTTCGATCCAATTCTAGAGACCCGATATACCGCAAAAGTTTTTTAAACCATCTTCACATTTAAATTTTTTTTTGATAAAAATTCACATATAAATTTTTTGTGAAAATCGGATCAGCCAAACTAGACGTTCTGATCTGCACAGACAGACTGACAAACATCTGTTTAAAAAAAATAATCACGAAATCTCGGCATGTAAAATTTGGTACTATCGCGTAGCTTCCCTTATTGTAGGCAATTCGGCCGCTAATGAACGCATAAAAATTCCAAATTGGTAAATTTTTATTAAGTATACGAATAAATTCTCTTTTTTAATTGTAATCTAAGCTAAATTAGGGGACTAAAAATTTGAAATCAAAATTATACAAATAAAAATTTATTTTTCAAACCCATCCATTATTTTGTTAACTATTTTTGTTATTGGTAAACATTTTGGTTTTCCAATATTATACCGTTATGTAGGTCATTTTTTTTTTCCTTTTATATTTATTCACTTTTTCATCAAATTTTTTATGACAGACGTTTAAAAAGTTTTATAACAAGTCTTAAACATAATAAAATTCTTCGAACTATAATACGAAATAGATAAGAATTTTATATACGACATTTTGATAAGAGAGAGAGAGAGCTTGCTTATCTTGTACTTATTGTAAATTTAAAAACATTATGCGCCACATAAAAATAACAAAAAGTTAAAAATATTAATTGTTTATTTTCATACGTTTTATCTTAATATTAATAATAATAAAAATAACATTTTAATCTTACCTTTTTGTTTTTCTATAATATTGAAGAATTTATTTACGAAATATTTCATATCTGCAAAGAAAAAGAAAATGTAATTAAAATTTTACAATATTTTACATTTACAAAATAATTTTTAATTTTTTTAATTAATCTAACTAACCTACTTGCTTTATAAAATACTCTATGTACATACCTTTAAACTAATACATAAAGAAATACATAAAAAAATTAATTAGATTTTGTGGTTTAAATTTTGGCAAATTAAGAAAAACAATATAAAAATAAAAATAATTTGTCAGGTGTCACATTTTTAATTAAAGGCGATTGATATTATTTTTTTTACAATGTATAGACGAAGATTAACACCTTTACGAATAAATCACAATGCCATAAATCCAAAAAAAAACTGTTGACGAAACGAAAAAATTATTGAGAAATTTTAAATTATACGCGAACTACAGTATAATAAAATTTAACGAAAAGGTCAAATTTAATTCGAATAAATAAGTAAAAAAAATATTGATATTTATTAAATTTATCAATGAAAACTAAATTTCATGAAATTTCAGTAACAATTGTGGATTCTTGCATACATACTTTTGTTCAATGTTTTATTACTGGATTTACTGCAAAATATTGTTATAATTTTACAAGAAAATAATTATTTTAATAATTCGTTATATAATTTCTAAAACCGAATTGAAATTATGTTCTGGTTTTGTATATACAGTCGATCCGCTTAGAAGAACATCGAAAATGCCATGATTATTTATTATAAATGAGTTTAGTTTCAGGCACACATTTTGCTTTATAAAGCGAGTGAATAATCACGTATAATTTGACATATAACCATCAATCAGATATATACAAATGATATTTTGAGTAGATAATTTTGATTAAGTAATGTAAGAGTTGAATTTTGTGACCAAATTGGTATTAGCAATAAAGAAGTTCAGCTTTAATACGAGTTGCTTTTATACAAATCCGATTGTATACTTTGGTCATTAAATTTCAACCATTTTCACATTAGCATTGATAAAAAAGAAATAGATGTAGATAGACCGTAGCAGTTAAAACACGATTTAATTTCGAAAAATTAATAAAAATATTTAATAGCTTTATAACATTATTCGATAATTCTACGTCATATATCAGAAATAAAAGCGTCATCAAACTGCTTAAACTTCATAATTAATTTGCATTAAGTACTAAGCATTTAACAGTTAAAGATTTTGTTCCTGATCTATTTTATTATAATAACTTAAAATTAAAAATTATATTATACGATTAAAATCTATTGTTTGATAAAAACGCTTATGTTTTATGATTTATAAATAATTTTTTGTCTGGTTTGCTGATTCAAAAGCAAATTTACATATCAAAAACCGCACACGTATTTCAATTTTATAGTTTATGTAATATTCGTAATACAGTTAATCTACTTCCTAATTGACCTTTAAGGTCATTGAAGCATAATTGTTTAATATAATTTATACTCGTATTTATATTTCATAAATGCATTACGTAATCGATATTCTTGTTTTATAGAAATTTTAACTGAAATATTTATACGGAAAGGTTCTTAATAAAATTAATATTAATAATGATTCTTATTCGAAATTAAAAAGGGAACTCTAATTCGAGTCCAACGTCTAAAAAATGATTTGCAATAATATGCAGTAGTTAATGGGATAGTGAGTGATTCCGATGAATTTACATTGTGTTACATGGGATAATGATTTCCGTTTGAATTTTTATTTCTATACGCAATGCTTCCATTTCATTGATGTTCGCAGAAGGGAAGTAATATTTAAAATTGTATAATTGATTTTAAATTTTAGTATCTCGGAACCTGCACTATGCTTTTTTTATATCTATACGTATACCTATGCAATTCTGATACATGTATACATATATTTTTTGATTAACTACTTGGGGGCTTTTTATTGTAGAAAATAACGTATAAGACAAAATGTCCAAAGTAACTGGCAATATTTTCAAAATTCAATTATGAATTAAATCAATACAACATAACTTATGCACACTTACAAAATTTCAATATAAATTAAAAATACTGTAAAACTTGCGGTTAAGAACCTGTTTTCTTGTTTTTTTGCTTTGTTATATAAAAAAATTTTGAATTTAATTTAGTCTAGAGAAAGAGTTACTGGTACAAGTTTTGTTGTTACTTAACTGTCATTCTAATAAAATGAAATCATAAATACCTAGAAAATGAAAAATTTCTACAACTTACTGCGAAATTTAAAATTTTAATATTTTTATGACCTTGTACTATTTTTAACATAAAAAATTTAATAATTAAAAAATTTTGTTAAAAGTAAAATATTATTCTCTTGTATCAGCGTCATGTATTTACATATATAAGCAATCGATTTAAGATGAATCAAATTATTGAAAATTGGTAAAATCTTTAAATTAAAAGAGCGAAAATCTCAAAAAGTAAAAAAAAATTCAGTAAAATAAAATCAAATCAGAAGAAAAATTTTTATTTTTACCATCTTTTTACCGATAACCGCCGACTGAATTTAAAGAGGAAGGTATTGTTTTCATACAAAATTTCTCATATAAATTTTAAATGTACTCGTGTTTTAGAAAAAAATATAAACTACAACATTTTATTATTTACAAGAATCAAACAAACACACGCCTACTATTATTATCAATAGTAGTAGGCATTCCAGTACGAATTTCTCTAGACAACTAGCCAACTTAAGAAATATGTGGCGAAACAAATGGGAGCATTGCTATATAATGTTAACATAATATATTATGAGGGAACTCGTTTCGGTTCCAATATGCCGCTTATTGTTTCTCTGACCCATGTTACTTTTAAGAAACTTAAAAACTATAGAATAAAATGATGCTACACAGTCGATAATGTGCTGTTCACATTTACATTTTATTTTTATATAATTAAGAGCTTGACTGCTTCAAGTTTTTCACTTTATAAGTATACGTAAGTGTTTCATATATAAAAGAACTGGTTTTCCTTCAATTCACTTTTAATTTTATTTTTTTCAAATAATTTAAAGCTTTCTCAATAACTGGAATAAAATGTCGCGTGATCAATACTTCTTTTTGTTTTTTCTCTACAATCTTTGATTATGAAGTTTTTAGACTATAACGATATAAAACTAACGAATCGGAACATTATGTATTATTTCCGTGATTTCATCTAATTTGTATTATAGACAAAATATTTTTATTTTATTTAAAAGAAGTTACCTTTGATAGATTTTACACGTTTATTACAAATATTACACTTTAATTCGCATTTTAGGAATATTTGTAATGTAATAAATGTTTGAAGATTCACACATATATGTATGTATATGTATATATAAAAAATTAAATTGTTTGGAAGCAGTTAATATGAATCTTCAGCCAACTATCGAGCTTAGGTAATAAGCAATCATAATTTACAACTATAAAGCTCTTAGTAATGGTTAAGTTTAATTAGAGATGATATAAGTTTAGAAATGGTATTTCAGAATCATATTTAAATTAAATCTAGAAAAATTTGTGTTATATAGACAAGGTAAATGGAAAAAATATCGATTAAATTGAAATCTAAAATTTCTTTCTTATTTTTTACTTCTAAATTTGGCTTAAAAGAAATATTTCAATTGTTGTGGCTTTACTTTGCTCTCACAGGTTTGTTGTAATGTACTTAAAAGATATTCATTAGAATACTTATTTGTTATACTACTTAATACAACTAGTGTATAATAAGTATTTAAATAATCAAATCAAAATATTTTTGTAAAGCTAGTCTATGGAACTTGTAACGTAATAGAAATAACTTAGTGTATTTCTTAGGTATTATTTTGCAAAATTTAGTAATATCTCCTAATACGTCAGAATCTAAGTTAGGTTAATTTAGTCTCTATAAAATCTATCAAAACTTACAATAACATTTTTCTATTTTAAAAAGTAATCAAAAAGTAAACTCGTCTCAACTCATTACACTCATTATTATTTTAATGTCAAAGTTAATTCTCATACGTTTTTGTTCCTTTTCGCCTACCATTATTATTATACACTTTTTAGTACCGGAACTTAAACTAAATCGAGTATATTTTAATAAAAGCATAAACAGTTTGAAAACACAAAAATTAAATCATTCTTTTTGGGTATGAACCCAAAACACATTTTTAAAATTCAAAAGTTTCCTATACTTATAAAAGTTGTCGTCGAATACTAATATGGTATGTACGTATATATACGCGTATAAGTAGAGTTAAGTGAACCAATTTTCGATATTTTTGCCAATCATATAGTGTTAGCATATAATAAAATAATAAAATATGAACAACAGGTTAACAATACAGTTAATGAATGAATAATGAATAAACAAGTTTGATTTTAAACAAAGACACATAATAATTATAAATTAAAATTTATGGCAAAAATATGATGATTACCTGATAATTAATAATATTTATAATATATTTAAAGTAATATACTTGCATATATGGCTAACAATAAGAATTAATATTAAATATTTTGCTCATTAAAATTTTACTTTTTTAAAAAAGATCTTTTTTAAACAAAGTTAATTAAAGATTTTAATTTATAAATTATGAAAAACAATTATTTTTTTTTGTGAAAAATAGATTCATTAATAACGATATGAACAAATATGTTTAAATGGTGTTAAATATCGAAAATGATATCAAATAGAAATTTAAATAAAAAATTATTTTCAAACAAAACAATTATTTTTTGATAATTCAAAACGAAAGTTTTCGTAATTGGGTAAAATCTAATTATAAGGAAGGATAATAAAGTTATAACAATTGCATTCGTCATATAACTTAACATTCTCGCACTTACAATTGCACGAGGAGTACTCGATACAATTGTCAAATTTCGCATTTCAAAAAGAACCGAAATTATAAAAATTAATAATTGTACAATAGAATCTTGGCCATTCAAGGGTGGTAGAAGAATGGACACCATGGCTGTTTCAGAAAGGTTTACAACAACACCAGGTGTTAGAGTATTAAAAATGACTTCCCCAATCAATTTTCAAATGGGTTCTGTAAATT